ATATGGCATTGGAGGGGTAGTGTGGAAACCCAATACAGTAGAACTTCCTAAAATATGTAGATATGTGAAGGCAATTTAAATGATACCGCCAAGTAGTGGGAGAGACAGAGCCCTAACTGGCCATCTCTCGTCACCAAGCAAAACAGCACTGGAATTGGATTGCATCTAATTGAGTTGTTGGCCAAAGTGGCCTCATGAGGAATCCCCAAAGAACCCAGGCTGTTGCCAAGACGATGGGTTGCTCTCCACACACTGACAGCAAGGCCCCATTGCTGAAGACACCACCAACACACCTCATTGAAGATGAAGATGTCTAGCCAGTCCCTTCATAGAGTCTTCACCTGTCTGTTCGTTCCAGCACCTTTGATACAGGAACACACTCTGCACACTCTCAAAAAAGAAATGTAAACACCAAACCACCCACAAAACCTTTATCTACAATGGCATACAGCCTGCAGGATATGCTAGGGCAATGGTGGCATAAAGCTTGTGGGAGTAAGCAACCAATAACTGATTTGACTTGGGGCCCGCTGCAAAGGTTGGAACCCGTACCTGACACTGCTTGGGTGACCAAGAACCTGCTATTTGATAGCCCAGAAACTTAGGAGAAAACCAAGTAACACTGGTCTAAAAAAAAGAAGAAAAAAATGTAGTGATGAAATGATTCTTAATAATACTCTGCTATATACCTTGTTCAGCAGAGACACTTCCTCTTATAGTAGATAGAAACAAATAGAGAGACCCATAACCAGACATTACAGAGAGAGTGAAAGACCTTGGAACACTCAGGCTTAAATGGAGGTCTCCATCAAACTCCTCCCCTCAGAGCTCAGGGAAAGAGTGTAAGAGCCAGAGGGGATGGAAGACACCAAGAAAACAAGACCCTCTAAACCAACATGAGCAAAGATCATGTGAACTCAGAGAGACTGAAACAGCATGCACAGGGCCTGCACGGGTCTGTACCAGGTCCTCTGTGTATATTCCATAGATTTCAGTTCAGTGTTTTTATAGTATTCCTGAGTGTGCAAACAAGTGGGTCTCTGACTCTTTTCCTTCTCTTGGTTTGTCTGGTCCAACTTCAACGTGATGGTTTTTGTTTTATCTTATATTTTATTTTGTTGAATTTTGAATGAATGAATGAAAACTTAGCCACTAGGGTAAAGGTTAACAACTGAATTAATCACTTATACCTGCTGAGAAAGGAAAATCAGTTTTCTCCAATAGAGTGACACTTGGTATATCAACCACTCCACAACAGGCCTTGTGTTCAGGAGTAGTTGACCAATAAATAATGGACTCTACAGTTTGTGTGTGTGTTTTTATTCAATTACAGTTTGGATGGGTGTTTTGTTTTGTTTTTTCCTTTTTGGGTGGGATTTTATTTTGTTTTCTTAGTTTTGGGGGTTTGTTCTTTTGAATTTTCATTTGTTTATTGAGAAAGAAGCTGAAGTTGGGTGGGTAGGGAGAGAGAAGATCTGGAAGGAATTGGAGGATAAAGAATATGAGCAAAATAGATTTAAATTTAAAAATTGTTTTAAATAATTAAAAATATTTTTAAAAAAAAATAACCTCGAGAAACTCCCAACTAAGAGAGAGGCAGGGATGTAGCACAGAGACACCATAAAGTCTTATAGAGATGCCCACATCAGCATTGGGTCTGCACTGTGACAAAACCCCAAAGCACATATGAAAAGAAGCTCACCATACCTTTCAATAACGAAGGAAATGGGGATGTTTGGGGTAGACAATGGACAAAAGTTTGATGATACTCACTTTTGAGAAGTACAGGAAACCTGAGCATCTTCAACATCTTTGGGCTAGTTACTAAATTAAAGTAGTTACTAAAATTTTCCAATATAAATTAAATGGTTTAATCCATCTTTCTTTTTATTCAACAATTGCATTGCTAGGAACTTAAAATTACAAATGTACTTTTAAAAATAAGTCTACAAAATATGTTCATTGCAAAGTGATTTTCTAAAATACATTTTATAATGTGTTCTATAGGGATATATATACAGAAATTCTTTTTAAATAGGGGTGTAGACAAGAATTATCCAAGGCCAGCCATACCAATGGCAGGAGCTTAGGAACAAAGATCAGGGAATAGTGGACAGATGTGAGGTATATTCTTGACTCCCAATGATATTTCTCAGCCAATAAAATAATCCCCCATACTTTATTTGGACCATGAAGTTTTTTAATTTTCACTTCAACTTAATTCAATCCAAAAATAATTTTGAGCCCTGTTCTGTTCTAAACATATTCTGTTACATGTTAATTATGGCTTGGATTTAGAAGTACTGTTGTAATTTAACCACGCAGAATGATATGACAGGAGGAGAAACAAGCATGAGCCATGGAAGTGCATGATGTTCCAGATGAGCAGAACACAGCACAGCTGGACTGCAGTTTGGGGTAGGGAGGAGATGCAGTGGGGACAGAAAATGATGCTGCCACGAGACATGCCATAGAAGCCGTTGATTTCTCAACAAAACAACTCCAGCTGCCATCTGCAGCATGAAACCGAGAAGGTAGCGGCCACTTAGCCCAGTAGGTGATAAAAAAACAGAGCAATAGCAGAAGGAGATAGGAGGAAGGGGTAGGGCTAGGAACATCGTAGAGAGTCTGAACAAATGCGGCTACCTATAAGGTGTGGGGAGAAAGGGAGGTGATGTCATGGTAGACACTGTCATCAGACATTGTCATTGCCCCTATGTGGAAGACGAAGAAAGTAAAAACATGTGGGGGCTCATTAGCTATGAGAAGATGGTGCTGTCAACTCAAATAACAATCAAAGAGAGATTTTCCAAAGAATAATATTTACTTGGGAATACAGAACACTGAAATGGGAATACTTGGGCCATCGAAAACGGTGAGCACATTCAATGAAGTTGAGGCAAGGGTGAAATTTTTAAATGCAATGTGAAGGATTACATAAGATATTTTGAAACAATAGTCCTTGGCTTCAAGATCAATAACAAGGGTGGTGCCAGTCTGGGGTTGAACAGACAGTTGCCAGGCATATGTCCTTGCTGAAGCGGTTTGGGGTGGATATTGTGGTGGCCTCTGTGAAAAGTCACAAAGTCTGCAATGGTTATCAGGGAATCGTGTATGAGAACCCTTCCTTCATGAGCCTCTGACTTTTATCTTTTTATTAGGGTTGACTCAAGTCACTTTTGGTTCTGGAAAGTTTTTAACAGAAAGGGGAGTAGGCTGGAGGACTCGCTTTCTGCTGGAGGACTCACTTCCTGCTGGAGAAGTTAGGTTTAAGGTAGCTGGGGTGTTCCAGTGTCCAACACTCAAATCTGGGAATACAGTCAGAAGCTTGGGGTTGAAAACAGTGACTCCAGCACATGGTAAGTTGAGAGGAGACAGAGTGGTGAGCAGGGCCTCTGAGCTGCGCTCTGAACCTTGAAGGCTTGCCCAGCTTTCATATAAAAACTCACCAAACACTTTCTAACAAGTGAGGGGTATAATCTTCTTCATCCCAGGCACTCGGAAATATAAAAAGACGGAGCTGGTTTCCTCCACTCCACTTGGCAAATCAAGGTCAATGAAGCTCTGAGTTTTCTGGCCTCAGTCCAAAAGCTCAACAGCTAAAACCCTCCAAGAAAATAAACAAGCAAAAGCAGCAAAATGAACCAGAGTTGACAAAAAAGTCACATAAATTAAATTATATGGGTAATTTTTTTTTGTAGTTTCATGAGGAAACTTGCTCCTGACAAGAATATTGACTTCATTTCTGCTGAATAACAGGGTGTTCTTGATCCCGCATAAATCTCAGAAGAATTTCCCAACAATCTTCCTGTCCCTCAAACCCTGGCAAAGCCGAGGACATTCCCAAAGGTTAGATTCATTTAGGATACTCATGCGACAATATCTGTACATTTATTACATTAATTTTTGGGGGTACTCCTAAATATTTAAGCATGTAATTAATCACAAAGCACTACTGATTTTGTTTGTTCAGAGAAGAAAACTGATTCTGATTGCAAAGACGAACTATTGGACATAGCTTGGAACTGACACAAAAACCAGTGAATTATCGCAGAAATGACCCTGATGTGTACTTAGGCTTCAAGGCTGCCAAGGTAAATAAATCAAAGATACAAAAAGTGGTTTTAATAATAATATAAAAATTAAACAAGCTGTAGAAGTTGTACTCCCAAATAAGGGTATTTTATTAAATAGCATTTTTTAGAGTCAAAATTCAAGCCAGGCACTGGAATTAAGCTCAGCACATGAGTGGTAGATGCCTGCTAAAATAAAGTACTATGGACTCAGGAATGTAACATGAAAGAATTATAGTATTTTTCTTATAAATCCAATCTTGTAATTCACACATTAAACTATCCTTGAATTTTCAAAAGCTCAGAAATTTTTGCATGTAGTTCTCTCTCTCTCTCTCTCTCTCTCTCTCTCTCTCTCTCTCTTGCTCGCTCGCTCTCACTATGTGTGTGTGTGTGTATGAGAGAGAGAGAGAAAAGAGAGAGAGAGAGAGAGAGAGAGAGAGAGAGAGAGAGAGAGAGAGAGAGAGAGAGAACAAGTATTGAAGTCAGAGGAGAATTTGCAGGAGTTGGTTCTCTCCTTCCATCGTGTGTACCTTAGGAGTCAAACTCCCATCAAGCTTGGCTACAAGCAACTTTATCTACTAAACTAACTGTCCCTCTGATATCTTAATAACTGGAAATTTTAACTCTGAGCCAATATAAATGAAAGTTGCCCTTTTTGGTATCACTGTGATAAATGAAACTACTGTAAAACCTGGAAAGTTTGGTTGATCCTAGAGCACTCTGGTTCAGGATGTGACCTCAGTTGACAGCTCTCCATTGGCCCCTATACTGTGGATTACTCCCTTGATGCCTTTCTATCCACACCTTTGTTCTCCAGGTCCTGTACGTTATCTGTGGGTGGTCGCTCCAGCTTGGGAATGAGCACACCTGTTATATTAGCCATGACATCACTCACAAATGCACGGTTTTCACTCCTCACTCCTGATGCGTCTTCACCGTGGTCTTTCCGGTTCCTTCTATGTCATCTCCACTCACTCATACCTCAAGCTGCTCTGGGTCCTAAAAGTGAGGCTCCTGCTCCACTTTGACAGATGGTCCTGACATCAACCCTTTCTCAGAAGCAAACTACCATGTACTAGTTCATGTAAAATATAGATCAGTTGTTTTTGGTTTTGTATTTTTTTACAGTTAAGAATGTAGATTTTGTTGTGCAACCAACTTGGTATATATTTAACCTGTAGGTAAAATCTTAAACTTTTCTCAGTTTCATTTTGTTTATCTGTCAAATCAAATAACTCTTCCTCCAAGGGAAGGCTATAAAGAATAGGTTAAAAAAAAAAACTATAAAATTCATAATACAGTAAGTACTCAATAAAGCTTACCTATACTACCCAGACCCTTTCTGATTACTTACCCTGTCTTTGCTGAATGTGAATTTCTGGAAATGTCCCATGCCTTCCCACACATTCTGCTTAAGGGTATTTGTAGCTAAAAGTTTTCCTGGTCCTGCCCAGCTAGCAGTCAGGACAAATCTCTCTCACCCACCAGTCCCCAGCTGCTCAGACCCAAATAAACACACAGAGACTTATATTAATTAAAACTGCTCGGCCGGCAGCGGCCGCCGCTCGGCGCCCGGCCCCGCCGTCGGCACTCGGGGGCCCGGGGACTGCGGTAT